GATCTCAGTCAACTTCCGCTTGACTTTTAATGTCCAGTTAAACGGGTTAGACCTCACTCACTGGCAGAACAGCATCCTCTAGGTTCAGGGGTGTTTCAGGCATGTGGGGCTCAAAGCTGCTCCGCCGGCGCCACGGTGACTCCTCAGAGCTGGCGACGTTGGTCACGGGAGCGTCGCAGGTCACTTTGCCAGGCGTGTTTCCTGCAGGGACAGGCGTGCTGGCGTGTGGCTGTGACTGGGGCGTGGCAGCAGGCTCATGAAGTGCTCGCTGTCCCATGCCAGACTGTGAGCGTGTGCCGCACGTGACAGCACTCCCCCACTCTGGGTAGCATGGTGGCACTGCAGATATGGGCGAGCGAGGGACGGGGGGACCCGTGGGGGTGCGGTAGAAAGTGGAACGGCTGCCGTGTTCCTGCAGCAGAAAAAGCACGAGGAAAGAAAGAGCAAGAATGAAGGAGACAAGAGGAGTTGTTGTTAGTGAGATGAGTCAAATCCTGACGTGTGTACTTCATGTGAGAAGAGCCAAAGTTAGTTACAGACTTGGAATTAGCGCCCGCATTTGAGGCCTGATGCAGCTTGAAGTTGTAGGTGCTCAAGAATGAAGCATTGCTAGAATATGGAGATGACGGCAGTAGGAGTGGTAGCAGTAGAAGTAGAGGTAGCAGGAAAAGTAGTGTCAGGAGGTTTTAGTTTTGGTAGTCTCAATAGGTTGCAGTAGAAGTTCAAACAGAGTGCAGTGGTTGGTTGTTGCTCATTATTTCACAGCTTTTCAGATTTCAATCTCTGAGAAAAAAAAGATGTATCAGAAGAAAGAAAAAAAACTCAGTACAGGTAGGGAAAAAAAAGGGTCAGCAGGAGGTGAAATGTAGGTTAGACAAACACTCTGCAATGCTCTGTAATGCACCAAAATGTGCACATGAAAGCACCACCTTTTTGGCTGTATATTTTTAAACATAGCCTCTTCACCAAGATGCTTATTCACGGTAACACCATATGACATTGCAGGCCTGTGCAACTTCCTAACTATCACTTACGCGTCATAAAATTTAAGAGTAAAATTGTAGCACAAACATGACAGAAAACCACAGTAAGCGTCACAAGTGTATTAAAAGTTCTTTTTTTGTTCTCGTCGTTGAATCCAAATGTCCAAAATCAAGCTCATGTCGAAATTTAGCGGACAGTGGGAGGGGAAAGATTAGACAATCTCACAGTATGAAGGGTTGGGAAAACCCAAACCTTTACTGCAGTGCCAGTTGTCATCCATTGTAGGCATTTAAAGCTAACCTGCTCTAACTTTGACTTTTTGTTAAGAGTCGAGCCCAACCGAAACAGGATATTAAAGTCTGATGTTTTGTGATTTAAAAATTCAATATAGCCGCCGATATTTTCTTTTCATTCAGACACAAAAACAAACACTATTTATTCTTTTATGTGTCATTATTTATGATTACATACCAACATAATAAAACAAGATTATTTTTAAACGGCATCATTGCAACAAGTGTTGGTTGACCTGCGTTTGTGTGAATCCGCTTTGCCTACTGGGAAGTTGCAGAGTGCCTTCTGGTGGACAAACTATGTCACAACACGCCACAGTTGAAGGGTGTTTCCTTCTGTCCCTTTATTACTTCCCTTGTTTTCATCAACAGTCACAAATGCCAATACTGATATATCAACAAATAGCTAATATAGGCCAATATATCAGCCCAACCGATAGCTGTTTAAGAAAAAAGCCCCAACATGTCACTATGAAAACTGAGTTTGTGACTCTGGACCTGTGGATTCAGCTTTGGTGAGTTGTTGTTACACATTCACAACATTCAGAGATGTGCTTTCGGAAGTCAAGATGAAAACAAGGATTTTGTTGTATGGGAACATATGAGAAAGATAAAATAAACATACAGGCAGCGAACAGGAGGGAGGAGAAGAGACAAGCAGGATGTCACACATCTAAGACAGGTACACAGCTGCAGCAGACTGCAGAGATAACAGAGCACGGAGGGAAGAGAAACAGAAGGTGTGAAAGATGCAGTAATAAAGACACAGATACAATTAGGCTTAAACTACTCATAGCTAAGCTGGTCAGACAGTTCATGCAGTCAGAGCATATTTGTGCATGAATACTTCCAACTTTGCACTGAAATGTCATCAGCAACAAAGAAAACACAAGAAAGCTGTGGATGAAGATGAAGGCTGCAGGGCCTTGTGATGGTCAGTTTAGAGTCATTTTGTACTGTGGCAGAAAAAAACCCTTCATTTTTAGCATTTGAAAGACTTGAAGTATGCTTGATTTGCACTGCCATGCCTGTGACAACAGCCATCACATGCAAGAGAAGCAAGCACACCTCGACTCTTAAAACACCTGACGCACAAATTGCATCCCTTTAGCTGCAAATATTCTAAATGCAAAACCCCTAAACTTTATGCTAAGCTTGATATCAGAGAGCTGCAAAACAAAACAAACAATAAAAAAAAAAAAGCAAAGGAGATTGAGGGGTGAAGATAAGCAGCGAGAATGAGGATGTGAAGGGAGGAGGAGCAGTTGTTGGGTAATCACAGCCATACGTAGGGTGTGGTTGGTTCAAAGCAACAAAAAAGAAAAAAGAAAAGCGCATCAGATGTGCAGTCGGATCTGATCTGTTCCCCTTCGTCCACAAACAAAAGGACCAGCCAATAAGTGAAAAAAAATAAAAAGTATTAAAAAGCTGAACCCAGAGCTTAAAAAAGGGGGAGGGAGTGGGATTTAGACGAGCTGACATACGTGCTGCTGCACTCCCCGATTCGGGACGTATACCTCTGTATACAAGGGTTCGACAGCCGTCTGGCCTGCCGCATCTGCAACAACACAGTGCAAAGCAGGATTAGAGCAGATGGGCCATCTGCCCACTGGGAAAGGAGAAGAAGAGGTGGAAAGAATGTGAAAGGAAGAAAGGGAGAAACGGATCGAGAAAAGAGGCACAGGGAAGGAAAGACAAGCTAGAGAGAAAGACACAGAAGGCAAGAAAGGAAACCACAGAGAAACAGACGCTTGCGGATAATGACTTCAGTCTAACCAAAAGGGCCCAAATGTGGCAGAGGCTGGTTTTCATCTGCAGTGAGGACAATGGAAGTGGTTTATTTCACTGCTCACCTACCGGGTCAAGCTGCTCGACTCCCTGCACGTAGACTTCTGAAAAGTAACTAATGCTCAACAAGTGGTGACAGCTGGTTATCCATTACCCACTTTAGCTAAATCAGTTCAGGGGCAACCTAATGGGACTGGAATTAAGTGGTAGCCATGAACTTCAGTGTCCACAGTTTGTTTCCAACTGAAGACTTTTTGCATGCCATCAGTCTCTCTATCGCTCTCACTTTGATGCAAATACATTTAAAGAAAATAATTTCAAAAAAGTAGTATTAAAAATAAAAATCAATCCCGTTTGTAGGTGGTAATGAAGAGGCTTGAGGAACATTCAGAACCGTTTTGAGCAAAGTTCAAGCTATAATTTGCCCCCCGATTATAAACATCACAATCCCCTTTACAGGTCCATAGCTCAGGAGTTAGAAATTACAAGTCTATGCCATTCTGTACTATGCAACTACAACACAATATTGTTAAAATACTATTATAGGATGAACCAATGTCATGCGGAAAAAACGGCACAGCCAATTCTCCTATTATGCATTTGTTTACAAAGAAGTAAAAGAAAAAAAAGAAAAAGATTGCCACTGAAATTGCGTGAGGACGTGTAAGAATAAGAAAAAACAAGCGGCACAAGTGAAACAACACACAAATCAACCATATCATCTTGACTACTACAAACCACGTCACTCAGTAAGTCTCCCACTCTACTCATGCAAGTAAAATTCAGGGCTGACGTTACTTTCGATGTTAAACTTTAATCTAATTGCAGTGACTTATGTTCCCTCCCATGGTGGATTTGTGTTGTACCGTAGTAGAAGATACTTACCGTGGCAGCTGACCTCCCAGGGCCCCGCTGGGCCACAATAGCCCCCGACACAGCCTTGATCCAGCTGTGCATCTCCTCTGGACTGTCCGCCTAGTGGAGACAGACATGAAAAGAGGCAGAACGGAATGAAGGAAAGAATGAGAACATAAGGAGTGGAAATCAGGATCAGAAGTGGCGGGAAGGGTAACATGTAGTTGGTAAAGATGCAGACAGACAAGACTGAATACCAGATTCATCAACATTAGTAAGCACTCACGTCTGAGCCATTCTTTTCATCACAGAGAGTCGCATACCTGTATGTAAAACGTCCTTGATGTGGTGACAACTTCAAATAGATTATCTCTCATCATAATGTCACTACAATGAAGCAGAAAAAAAACAGGATCAAATTGATCTCATCTTTATCTTTATCAGAAAAGGTAAGCACAAACCACCGAGACAAAGACATTTTTCTGTACAATGGAAAAATGTTGGGACTTGTTAGATACCTCTGCTTGCACTCCTGGACTTTGTGAACTTCTTTTAGTGGGATCATTCTGAGAGGCTCTTTCTCCTAAAAACAAAGAATTAACTTTTCATAACACGGGACAAATATTATTTATAATGCATTCACATTTAAAATGCTGTATCTAATGGGATAGCTAGAAAAGGTGCAGAGTTTCTGGTTCACAGGGGAAGAAGGAGGTTAACTTTCCAAGAAGTAGCAAACTGCAAACACTAATGGTTGCAACTTTCTTGACACAGCACTTTGATACAGCAGACAGAGAGTCTGTGTCCTTGAGGCCTGTTGATAGCCAAATAGACAGATAAAGTTGTCAAATAAGGGCAGACCTAGACAAGGACAGGGTAAGGGACGTACAGTATTATCCAGAGGACAGTCTGTGTGTGTGTGTGTGTGTGCGTGTGAGTGTGTGTGTGCAAGTAAGAAAACCCGGAGGGAAGAAGGCATGATCGGACATGTACAGTGAAGGCATTGAATTCCACAGGCTATGAATAAAGCATGTTGGAACTCGGGGTTGTGTTTGCAGATACTTCCCCCTCGGATTCTGGAGGAAAATCAAATGTGTGTGTACTACAAATCTAAACATTCCATAAAAGCTTCATGTAACTTAATCACAGGTAATTACCAAATCTGACTTAAAGTAACTCATTGAATTCTCTTCGAGAAGAAAATATCGCCGTTTCCAGTTCCTCATCTGGGGAGAAAAAAAAAAGAAAAAAAAAAAAAGATTCAGATTACAGAAGCACATCTTTTTATACTTCTTACACATTTTACTTTACTTTTGGGTCTTTCTAAAAGTATAGAATTGTACACATAGGAGGAGCTGAATTTTCTTAGATTATCATTATATTAATTGTAATGGAGCTTACCTACTTTATTTTTTAATTGGGTCCCTGAGCAGAACTACTGCACAGGGGAACCCATCTGAACACCAACACAAGGACAAATTAAGTTAACTAATTTTAAGCAAAAAATAAATAAATAACCAAAAACAGTGTCAGTGGTTGTGTCAGTGCTCACCACAGCTCCTTGCTTGACGCAGTAGCCTGACTTGATGACATTGTGGTCCTGAGCTGGCCTCCCCAGGAAGTAAGGCAGCTGGCTGTGGGAACGCTGCATGGCCTCACGCTCAGCTCTATCTGCGCCATCACCTCCTTCATGCTGGAGGGTGAAGGACATAAAATAATGTCAATTTGAAGTTCATTGTGAAAAGCAAACACCACAAATTGCCACTTTGGATTCTGTGATGACAAACGATCAGACAATGATCCTAGTTAAGTGAATTTTGAGAAAAAGACATTGGTCAAGAAATAAAAATATTCACCAGTCACTTTGTTAGGTACACCTGTTCAACTGTTAACACTCATATCTAATCAGCCAGTAACATGGCAGCATGCATTTAGTCCTGAAGACACGGTCAAATCGAGCATCACATTTAAGTAACTTTGAATGTGGCTTTGACAGGCTGGTCTGAGTGTTTTAGAAAGTGCTTATCTACTGAGATTATCCCACACAACCACTTCTATAGGGTTTACATAGAATGATCAGAAAAGAGAAAATATCCAGTGAGTGACATTTCTCAGAGGACAATGGCCAGAGTGCCTGGAGCTGATAGGAAGGCAACAGTAAATTAAATAACCACTTGTTACAACCAAGGCCTGCTGTGAATACTTAGCTCAACTAACCATAAATCAGGTGTGCTAAAGCAGCAAAAGTAGTCATGGATTCATCCCATTTTACATCAATGATCCAGGATGCTTCTGGCGGTGTAATGGTGTGGGTGATATTTTATTGCCCCATTTTGGGTTCCAGCATTTTCATATCACAGCCTACCTGAGTATTTTGGCTGACCATGTCCATCCCTTTATCTTTTAATGGTTACTTCTAAGATAACATTTTTTGAATATGCGAACGAGTTCACTGTACTCAAATCAACTCCAAAGTCCCCAAATCACAATCCAACAGAGCACCCTTGGGATGTGGTGGAATGGGAGATTCGTATCACGGATGTGTAGCAGACAAATCTGCATCTTTGATCCTATCACGTCAATGAAAACCTCTGAGGAATGTTTCCAGCACCATGTTAAATCTCTAACACAAAGAATTAAAGCAGTTTTGAAGGTAAAAGGGCATCTAAAGTTGTACTAGCATGGTGTATTTGGTGACCTGACTGGTGAATGCATAATCACTGTTAAAAAAAACAACAACCTGTGATTAACATTACGACGACTGTTGCACAGATATTAAGATAATGCAGTAGTTTCAACATCAGAAATTAAGGATCATTTCCTTTATCAATAAATTATGGATTAAAGTAGTTATCAAATGTTATTAATCATTTATTGGTTCAACAATAGTTTTGCACTTTAGAACATAGAGATATCAGTTTCTCCAAGATCAAAGTGAGGTCTTTAAATTGGTTGATTTATCTGACAGGTTAAAACTGTAGAAAAACTGTTCTGTGTTTGAAGCAGAAAATTTCACACGTTTGAGAGCCTGAACGCAGCTCTCTTTGGGCACTTTTGCTAGGTGAAAACTAATGATCTAACAGTTGGAAA